CTTCGGCAAAAAATCAGATAAAATCAAATCCACCTTTATGGAACACGGGGGAATTTTATATTTATTATGTAATATTGGCATTTAGTATTTTTTATATGTATAAGGTTGGGTATGACTTGAGTAAAGGTAGGCGAATAATGAATTTAATGTTAATAAGAGTTTTTCACTTATATTTTATGAATCGCGACTAAAATTTAGAAACACATCCAAATTACGCAAAGTATTCCCAGAAATTAGAGGATGGATGGATTTTTGGTCGCAAAGTGGTAAGGCCACAATGATTTAAGCTGTGATTGTTGGTCACCACCTTCACATCAATTAAGACCGTTTAACAAATCGACTTTAGGACAATAGCGACACACAGCTTTCTGAGTTCCGAGATAATATTCCTTCATTAGCATTGGGTTTAGTACTATACTTGATATCAAGTCATCTGTTCAGAATTTTTTATTCTTCAAGATTTCCTGTAAAACTTGCCACGCAACCTCTTAAAAGAGCGTACTTTTTCTTGGGGTTCTCGGCAGCTTTCCTCTATGTGCTGTTTGGTAATAGTGTAATCTTTATTTTTACAATATTGAGCCTGAATTACGCTATATCGAGAACCTTTCAAGGATCCATCGCCAATCCCATAATCACTTGGATATTTAACCTTTCTGTGTTGTATCTGAATGAGACCTACAAAGGTTATCACTTTAAGAGCATTGACGAGCATCTAGCATTCTTGGTATTTTTTTTCTTCTCCAGTTAATATTAAAATGTTATGATACTGATACCGAATGAAATATTATAGGATCGAAATCGAGGATTATTGGCTAGATGGGATGTCAACTTTAATATAAGCATGCTGCGACTTGTGTCATATAACATGGATTATTATTGGTCATTTTATCCTCCACCAAACTCTCCCGAGGTAATCCTTGGAGAATCCAATGTAATGGTGTCTCATCATTCATTCATTAGTTAGTTAGTTTATCTATTCCCGGGAAAACGATGGACGTCAAAGTATTTATACGGATGCTGCACATAGACTCATCAATTGCCTGGTTAGATTAATCATCAAAGATTCTTTTTTATGAATATTTCCTGCCCGACAGGCATTTTAGAAATTCTTTGATTGATCCCAACATCTTCCTGGAAATTATATGATCTAATCACAATTTACTGCATTCTGTAGAGGAATGATAGGGATCTTGCACCTCTTACAGAAAAGGATCGGATTAATACTTCATGTTATAAAGAGGATTATAATTTTATTTACTATTTAAGTTATGTTACATATACGCCTTTGTATCTCGCCGGCCCTATAATCACCTACAACAACTTCATCTCTCAAGTAAGTATCAAAGGTATCCATACAGTCACCATTCTGCCTGTTCAATGTATGAAACTTAACAATTAAGATTCTTTGTAGCTAAGATATCCTCGGGAAATTACACTCAAGGATACAATTTTATACGGAATCAGACTCCTGTTGGCAATGCTTACCATGGAATTCATGCTTCACTATATATATGCTGTTGCCATCAGTAACTCAAAAGCATGGGAAAATGATACACCTTTCGAATTGGGTTTCATTGGAATATTTAATTTATTGTATGTTTGGTTAAAGGTACGTGATTTATCAATTTTTGACTTGATTCGTTTTTTTTATTGATTTCATGTTTCTTCTCAACCTCCATGATAGCTTTTAGTAATATGGAGATTTTTCAGATTTTGGGCTCTGGCAGATGGAATCGACACACAGGAAAATATGATAAGATGCATGTTGAA